GAAGTACCACTTCAAGACGGACCAAGGCATCCGCAACCTACCGGTGGACGTAGCGGACAAGCTGGCGGGAACCAACCCCGACTACGCCATCCAAGACCTGTACGAAGCCATCGGCCGCAAGGAGTACCCTACGTGGACCTTGTACGTGCAGGTCTTGACGGTGGCCCAAGCCACTGCGCACCTCGAAGCGGGATTCAACCCGTTCGACGTGACGAAAGTGTGGCCCCATGACGCGTCTCCGTTGCGCGAGGTGGGCAAACTGGTGCTCAATCGCAACCCGCCCAACTACTTCAGCGACGTCGAGCAGCTCGCGTTCTCCCCCGCCCACTTTGTTCCGGGCATCCAGGCATCCCCGGACAAGATGCTCCAGGGGCGGCTGTTCTCGTACTCGGACACGCACCGCCACCGGTTGGGCCCCAACTACCAGCAGATCCCGGTGAACCAATCCGTGCAACGCCCGCCGCGAAACTACCAACGCGACGGGTTCATGACTGTCAACGGCAACCAAGGCAGCGCCCCCAACTACTTCCCCAACAGCGACCCCACGTCGCCCCAGTACTTGGACACTCGTGACCCGGTGCCTCAATCTGGTGCTGCGTTGTTGGCGGCTGTCGCTCGCTACAGCACGAAAGACGACGACAACTTTTCGCAAGCGGGGCAGTTCTATCGACAGGTACGGAATGAAGATGGCGTTGTTGTTGCTTGAGGCGGAGTCTCATGCTGCATGTAGGTGTTGAATGACGACGAGCGGGCTCGCTTGGTTGACAACATCGCGGGGAGTTTGGTGCATGCCAGCGACGCCGTTCAAGCCCGAACGGTACGAGGTCGCAGCTCCATTGGATGGGATGTTGATGTCTCCTTAGGTGGCGAATTTCACGGCCGCGGACAGCCAGTATGGACAGCGTGTGGCTCAAAAAGTGGCCGAGTTGCGTGCGAAGGCCCAACCCGAAGGAGCCAAGCCTGCCGCAGCCAAGTTGAACCCCCCGCGGGCTGCCGGATTCAAACCTGTAGACCCCACCGAGGATGCGTTGCCGCGCCTGTAACCAGCAGCGGCAGTGGTGCATATGTGGCGTGTCCGTAGCTGGACTGGATTGTTGAAGTGGATAGTTTTTGATATTTCTATACAGTACTGTATTCATCACTGATGGGACCGTGTCGCATTCGATTCGAAACTTTGCAATGTCGATTGGTTTGGCGATACAAGGCCACTAGCTACATTTCTTCCGTGTAATGCATAAACGACACTTGCATTCCATACGCGTGGATGGTTGTGTTGCAGCGGACTCGACTCGCATCAACCTAGTGAAAGGGGAGGGTTCTGACTCGACCCTAACTAGGCTTCCTGGTGTCGATGCCAAGGACCTGAGGAAACCTGGGACTGAACAGCGACCATCGGTGTGTTCTTGTCCTACGTTGATCAGGTGTAAAGTGATCTATGAGTAGCGTGCGTCGGCATGCATTATGTACTGTATTCACACTACGAAGGCTACGTACTATTTTTGTTCTGTAAAATTCTACACAACTTCCAACTACAAATATACTTTAAATAAAATTCTCAAATATATACTCAAACATGAAATATACAAATATATACATACAAATATATTGCATTTAGGGTGAGTTTACGGACGATCACACTGGTAGTATGTATGATACTGCATCGCTGATGAAAGGAAGTAGATGGTGATAACAGTGATAGCCTTGGTGGTCCATCTCAAGAACCACTACGCGTTGCTGTTTGCGTTGCGCGAGTGGAAAGATTCGTCGACACAGGAATGGACGAGGCAACTCCTTACAGCGCGTCGGTGCCAACGACCCACTGCATGGATAGATTGGAGTGAGCTGCGGCAGATTTTTCTGGCATGGGTAGGGTCTTATCATTTGTGGTTACACCGTGAAGTACTGCATAATTCTACTCAATTGGCTCATTTACCCATATCCAAGGATGCTTCCAAACATTTCGGAGGCATCCGCTTTCCCTGTAAGGGGTTTTATTAGCTTTAAAAATTAACGTAGCTCATTCTACGCTAGCTTGAGTTTTTGTATAGGACAAGCATTCGTTTACCATTCAGCATTAAGTAAATTCAAGTGAAGAAATACCGAGCATTATTATTGTATTTCGACTGCAACTTTACCAGAGAAAGGGGTTTCTTTACATGCAACTCGCCTGAGAGCAGGACTGTGAAGTTCAGGCGATGGAATTGGCGGCATACATGTATTCAACTCAATACGAATAGATTAAAAAGAGAATAACGTTAGCAGAATCCGACAAGGGGTTAAAAAGTTACCCTCCCGATAGCCCAAACGGATGGTATGGTACACGTCATTTATAAATATATTTCGATGTAGTATTCATTCAACGACTTCATCGAACAATTCATCTACGTCGACAGAGCTGGGATGATTGTTCGTCTGTTTTCTTGATGAATTTGTGTCAATACGAGTCCGATTCATGAATACAGCCACAAATTTGGCGGCTGGTGACCTAGGTGTACCTGTGCATTTTTACATATTCGGATACACAATTTCTATCCGGTCAAAGGCCTGGACCTTTTATTCTTATACGCTTCTATTATCTGAAACAGTATTGGATCCTTGCGTATATAGAATTATGAGATGCATTTGACCCTCATTTCTAATTTCGATTGATGATACTTTACAGAGCATGCATTGCCAGGGTGAATAATTAAACTCCGTCGATTTGTTCTCCCCCTAGATTAAAAGATCTTATGAAAATGAAATACTAGTAGCAGCAAGAAAAGTTTGTGAAAAGTTGGTGCTATTAATACTGTAGTACTACTGTACACCACAAATTATACTATTAATAGTACACACAAGTGAAAGGTCTTATCGAGAGGAGCCCAGCTACGCACGCGACACATGGTATGCACTGCTGCCACTGTTTACAAGAGTGGCAACGCATCCTCGGTGGGGTCTACAGGTTTGAATCCGGCAGCCCGCGGGGGGTTCAACTTGGCTGCGGCAGGCTTGGCTCCTTCGGGTTGGGCCTTCGCACGCAACTCGGCCACTTTTTGAGCCACACGCTGTCCATACTGGCTGTCCGCGGCCGTGAAATTCGCCACCTAAGGAGACATCAACATCCCATCCAATGGAGCTGCGACCTCGTACCGTTCGGGCTTGAACGGCGTCGCTGGCATGCACCAAACTCCCCGCGATGTTGTCAACCAAGCGAGCCCGCTCGTCGTCATTCAACACCTACATGCAGCATGAGACTCCGCCTCAAGCAACAACAACGCCATCTTCATTCCGTACCTGTCGATAGAACTGCCCCGCTTGCGAAAAGTTGTCGTCGTCTTTCGTGCTGTAGCGAGCGACAGCCGCCAACAACGCAGCACCAGATTGAGGCACCGGGTCACGAGTGTCCAAGTACTGGGGCGACGTGGGGTCGCTGTTGGGGAAGTAGTTGGGGGCGCTGCCTTGGTTGCCGTTGACAGTCATGAACCCGTCGCGTTGGTAGTTTCGCGGCGGGCGTTGCACGGATTGGTTCACCGGGATCTGCTGGTAGTTGGGGCCCAACCGGTGGCGGTGCGTGTCCGAGTACGAGAACAGCCGCCCCTGGAGCATCTTGTCCGGGGATGCCTGGATGCCCGGAACAAAGTGGGCGGGGGAGAACGCGAGCTGCTCGACGTCGCTGAAGTAGTTGGGCGGGTTGCGATTGAGCACCAGTTTGCCCACCTCGCGCAACGGAGACGCGTCATGGGGCCACACTTTCGTCACGTCGAACGGGTTGAATCCCGCTTCGAGGTGCGCAGTGGCTTGGGCCACCGTCAAGACCTGCACGTACAAGGTCCACGTAGGGTACTCCTTGCGGCCGATGGCTTCGTACAGGTCTTGGATGGCGTAGTCGGGGTTGGTTCCCGCCAGCTTGTCCGCTACGTCCACCGGTAGGTTGCGGATGCCTTGGTCCGTCTTGAAGTGGTACTTCACGTAGCTAACAACGCCGTCCTTGTTCACGTTTTCAAACGTGTGGCTGCCGTAGCCGTTCATGTGGCGATGGCCGTCAGGGATGCCGCGGTCCGAGAACAAGAACGACACTTGGTGCGTGGTCTCCGGCCGCAACGAGATGAAGTCCCACATCATGTTGGCGTCCTTGAGGTGCGTCGATGGATGCCGCTTCTGCGTGTGGATGAAGCTCGGGAACAGAATCGGGTCGCGAATGAAAAAGATCGGCGTGTTGTTGCCCACCAAGTCCCAGTTTCCCTCCTCCGTGTAAAACTTGATGGCGAACCCACGGGGATCGCGAACGGTGTCGGCACTCCCTTGCTCCCCTCCAACGGTCGAGAACCGAACGGCGATGGGGGTTCGCTTCCCCACGGCAGAGAACAGCGCTGCGCTTGTCACCGACGAAATGTCGTGCGTCGTTTCAAAGTACCCGAACGCACCAGCCCCCTTGGCGTGCACCACGCGCTCGGGAATTCGTTCGCGATCAAAGTGGGCAAGGTGGTCGAGCAAGGCAAAGTCTTGGAGGACGATGGGTCCATGCGGACCCGCAGTTTGCGATGCCGTGAGCCCATGGTTTGGCAGTGGGGCGCCATTGCTTGTCGATAGGACGGACTTCTTCGTTGCCATCTTGCGTGACAGGGGGAGTCAATTGAAAAATGAATGAAGAAGATATATTTCCTTGAATTGTTCCACCGAACACTACAAGACTACCGGTTCATCAGGGGGGGCCCTTCTCAGGGGCGTCTTCGGTGGAAAGTTGATTCTGACGTGAATCCTGATTTTGTGACATTTTGCCTGTACTGGTGGATTTACAATCATTTTGTTGAAACCACCACATTCACGCATAGGATTAATATCAGCGCGTTAACAGTACAGTACGTACATATTGTGTTTTTACCTATAGAGTGAGTGGGTTCTTCCAAAGATCCCAAAAATGTCATATGTCATTTGACAGTGGGTACCCCGGTGTACAGCTACGGTAGTATCATTGAAGAATGGCAAGTGTGGAGGTGCAAGCGGCGAGGCGCTGACTGCTCAGAAACGGGCAAGACAGAATATACCTCATACTCATGGACTGGTAGTCCTCCAGAAACACCTCAGATGGTACTCAGACCAGTTTTTTATCGATCTGAGAGTCGATAAAAGTGTTCTCCGTTTCAACATCAATCTTGCTGTCTGAAAATGCAAATTTCTGCGATTGTAAGGGCTGGAACTCTGCGAAGAAGAAAAAGAAGAAAACAACGTCGTCGCACTTCTGAGGGTTCCTGAGATCACACAATAAACGGTTCTGAAAATTGTAACGTTTACTACGAAGTACCGGTACGTGAGTTCCGGTGGAATTTTCTCCTTATGGCTGGTTTGGCCCATTATTTGTTGATCGAGGCCACGTTTTGATTCGTCATAAATAATAAAGTTTAGCCAATCATGCAGTATATCCCAATGACAATTCGGGCATGTGAAAGGTCTCTCAGGAGTACTGTACTGTTAATACTACAGTAGTAGGTCATACTATTAATAGCAGCACACGGCAACATACGTACCGGTACTATATACCAACTGTTTTTCCTCGCCGTCCTACAGATGTACTTGTACATAAAGTCTAGGGTTCGCATGCAAACATCTTGCAAACATCTACAGTACAAGGTTCATATGTGAAATATGCTACTTCGAAGTAAGCTTACTATTATTAATAATAGTAGTAGGGTGAGTCAATGAACAGAGTTGACACAACGAGGTACAGTAGCACAACTGCTTCATGTCTGTGCTCCTCCTTATGGGAGTGCGATGTGGTATCCAGATTGCACTCGCATGGAACCTCTGTATATATAGATGATGCAATTACAGAGGTTTCGGTTGATGAATCGAACGAACCAATCAAGCATAACCCAAGTGTACTGATCCGAGGAAATCGCAGATTTGACTGAACATCAGCTCTATGAGTGAATGTGGTTGATTGTATGGTGCACGTCATCTATAAACTACCAACTTTTCACAAAAATTTCTGACTTCTATTTCATATTCATTACTCAAAATTTCAGCAAATTGAGACGTAGAATCGACAGATCTCAATGTAATGAAGAAATTCTACGTCTCATATTCAAATTTGGAGTTGAATTGGTCCAGAAATAGATATTTAACCTAGCGGTATTTTACATGGGCGCTTGGATATTTGGCCATAGGGGTGGCTGCTGAGATGTATCTTGATTTTTGTATGTAACACTTATCCGTATATAATATCCGGAGGCAGTTGGGACCTTTAACCTCCCACTGCAGTGATAAAACGCATGAAATCGGTATTTAACGTATTTTGTTTTTGGGTTTAACTACATTAATTGTACGTTAAATAATAAAACCTCCACTCCTCGATTTGGCCAGTTGGAAGTTTTTAGATGACGTGCACCATAAATCCCATGAAATACGAATAATTCCCTCATTAAAACAATTCCACTGTTCATTTGACTTAAGATACTGTTTCAAGGATACACGTTTTCCGTCGTAGCCCTTTAACCCGTGACTCTGTCCTACCCCCGATGAGTGCATACCATGCTAAATCCCGGGGTTAAATGCATCTCTTTAGTTAGCTATACAGCGAAACACTGGCGCTACATTTAATTAACCCCTATCAAGTGCTGAGGTAACGTGACGGAGTATTTGTACTAACTGTAAGTCCCATCCATAGCAGCACCATAATTCCAGTGCTTTGTGAGAAAAACAACAGTGGAACTACATTAATTACGGAATTGTACAATGAAATTGAACTTACAGTTCTAAGTTTTACACGGCAAAATGTCACAAAATCAGGATTCACGTCAGAATCAACTTTCCACCGAAGACGCCCCTGAGAAGGGCCCCCCCTGATGAACCGGTAGTCTTGTAGTGTTCGGTGGAACAATTCAAGGAAATATATCTTCTTCATTCATTTTTCAATTGACTCCCCCTGTCACGCAAGATGGCAACGAAGAAGTCCGTCCTATCGACAAGCAATGGCGCCCCACTGCCAAACCATGGGCTCACGGCATCGCAAACTGCGGGTCCGCATGGACCCATCGTCCTCCAAGACTTTGCCTTGCTCGACCACCTTGCCCACTTTGATCGCGAACGAATTCCCGAGCGCGTGGTGCACGCCAAGGGGGCTGGTGCGTTCGGGTACTTTGAAACGACGCACGACATTTCGTCGGTGACAAGCGCAGCGCTGTTCTCTGCCGTGGGGAAGCGAACCCCCATCGCCGTTCGGTTCTCGACCGTTGGAGGGGAGCAAGGGAGTGCCGACACCGTTCGCGAT